CCATTACCCATAAAGCAATGGTAACTAATACAGTGGCTTCACCAGCCCGTAATACACAACAGTGCACAACTACAAGTACCTTGGGCTGTGGGTGGACAATAAACTGGACTGGACATACAACACACAGCACCTGTACAAAAAGGTCTACACAGTGTGATGGCTGTGTGGTTATTTACTCCCTTTTTAAGCCTGAATTTCCCTAAATTTAGCCATTTGAAAGCTGAAATCTGAAATTCAGCCCCAGCAAAGATCCTTGCTCAGCACTGTAAACAGGGGTCTGTACTCATTAAATGTTCACAATATCTTAATTCCATTCAGATCCTGGTGTTTGATGAACTCAAAGAGGGACTGGAGGCCATCTTGGCTGTTACTCACATGGAAGTGATCATCCAGCTGAAAGAGAGATGTGCACAAGGGGAGGAGAAGAAACGGGAGATGATGCAGAGCCTCCTACAGGTGAGGCTGACTCAATGCACTTTGCCATCCAACTGGCCCTGGTCACCCCATAATAGCTTTATCTCTTAATCATTTGTTCATTTCAGTCATTTCATTTTCTGTTTTTAAAAGTATATTTAGTGGAGTCTGCTTTACATGACTACATCATACCGGAGTATGGAAACTACCGGAATGCAACCAAACAGCTGCTGCATTTTATGCTGCGGTATTTTACCAGGATATCCACTGTGCCGAACCCCCATCTCCACAGCCGACCCGCCTCCCACTCCTCCTGTCCCTGCTGGCACATGATGTGTAATACAGTGGGCAGACAGCAGAGGGAGCCGCAGGCACACAGGTCAGCACTGTACAGCTTCTGCCTGTCTTAAATTTAGTGTAGCAGATGTACAGCATTTTTCATTTCTGTTTTATGTACTTTACATTTGTTGGGTGTTTATGTAGGAAACCTGCACCTCTGTGAAAATGTAAAAAGCTGTATTTGCTGGGATTTATTTGAAATGCTGCTTGAAAACTTCTTGATTTTTTTCTACTGAGAGAAACTCAAGCATGCAGTTTGGGACATATTTATCTTTGCTGATCCAGTGCTATTTGGAAGCTCTGGGTTTCAGGTTGGCTCAGTAGCCCAGTTTGAAACGATTCCCATGTCAAGTTTGATATTTTGGAGTTTGTGGCTGAGAGAAGAATCAGAGCCAAACATCAGAGCTGAAACTGGCTTCAGGACACAGAAGACAACGGTGTTAAGAGATCTGCTGAAGTAACATAAAATCCTTAGTCTGCAGAGTGATATTGATTATTTTTTACTCTTTCCCTATGATTGTAGAGATGCACAGTGATGTTTGGTTATGTAAAGCTATTGCACTGAATGTCTTTAGGGAAAATGACACCCCACCTTTTATTCTCACCAGCGCCCCCTGTCTGGAATCTGCTATCATGGCTCCCACCTTGTCCAGGCTCTGTTAAAGTTCAAGGGTCACAGCCTCCTCCTAAACAGCCTGCGTGCTCTTACAACATCTGACCTTGTGANTAGCTTGTGCAAGCTTGGATGTTTTTCTATGTCGTTCACTTCGCTTTTCACAAAAGAATCGGCTTAGCGAGCTGGACTACTTCCAACCGGTGGCACTCCCGTCACACCTGATGAAGACTGATGAAGGTTCAGCATGCCCAGGACCCCTTACAGTTCACATACCAGGCAGATGTTGGTGTGGAGGATGCTATCCTGTACTTCCTACACCGAGCCCACTCGCACCTGGACAAGGGGAAAGGCATGGTCAGAATCCTGTTTCTGGATTTCTCAAGTGCCTTCAACAAAATCCGGCCCTGTCTGCTACAAGAGAAACTGTCCAGGATGTGGGTGGACCCCCGCCTGGTCACCTGGATCACCAACTACCTCACCGACAGACTGCAGGATGTCAGGATAAAGAACATCACATCTGACACTGTGGTCAGCAGCACAGGAGCACTGCAGGGAACTGTGCTGTCTCCTCTCCTCTTCACCCTGTATACCTCAGACTTCTGCTACAACTCTGAATTGTGTCACATATAGAAGTTTGCGGACGACACGACCATCATGGGGTGTATCAGGGACGAGCAGGAAGAGGAGTACAGGAGTCTGGTGAGGAACTTTGTTATCTGGTGCCACACAAACCACCTGCAGATCAACACCTCAAAAACCATTACCCATAAAGCAATGGTAACTAATACGGTGGCTTCACCAGCCCGTAATACACAACAGTGCACAACTACAAGTACCTTGGGCTGTGGGTGGACAATAAACTGGACTGGACATACAACACACAGCACCTGTACAAAAAGGTCTACACAGTGTGATGGCTGTGTGGTTATTTACTCCCTTTTTAAGCCTGAATTTCCCTAAATTTAGCCATTTGAAAGCTGAAATCTGAAATTCAGCCCCAGCAAAGATCCTTGCTCAGCACTGTAAACAGGGGTCTGTACTCATTAAATGTTCACAATATCTTAATTCCATTCAGATCCTGGTGTTTGATGAACTCAAAGAGGGACTGGAGGCCATCTTGGCTGTGATCATCCAGCTGAAAGAGAGATGTGCACAAGGGGAGGAGAAGAAACGGGAGATGATGCAGAGCCTCCTACAGGTGAGGCTGACTCAATGCACTTTGCCATCCAACTGGCCCTGGTCACCCCATAATAGCTTTATCTCTTAATCATTTGTTCATTTCAGTCATTTCATTTTCTGTTTTTAAAAGTATATTTAGTGGAGTCTGCTTTACATGACTACATCATACCGGAGTATGGAAACTACCGGAATGCAACCAAACAGCTGCTGCATTTTATGCTGCGGTATTTTACCAGGATATCCACTGTGCCGAACCCCCATCTCCACAGCCGACCCGCCTCCCACTCCTCCTGTCCCTGCTGGCACATGATGTGTAATACAGTGGGCAGACAGCAGAGGGAGCCGCAGGCACACAGGTCAGCACTGTACAGCTTCTGCCTGTCTTAAATTTAGTGTAGCAGATGTACAGCATTTTTCATTTCTGTTTTATGTACTTTACATTTGTTGGGTGTTTATGTAGGAAACCTGCACCTCTGTGAAAATGTAAAAAGCTGTATTTGCTGGGATTTATTTGAAATGCTGCTTGAAAACTTCTTGATTTTTTTCTACTGAGAGAAACTCAAGCATGCAGTTTGGGACATATTTATCTTTGCTGATCCAGTGCTATTTGGAAGCTCTGGGTTTCAGGTTGGCTCAGTAGCCCAGTTTGAAACGATTCCCATGTCAAGTTTGATATTTTGGAGTTTGTGGCTGAGAGAAGAATCAGAGCCAAACATCAGAGCTGAAACTGGCTTCAGGACACAGAAGACAACGGTGTTAAGAGATCTGCTGAAGTAACATAAAATCCTTAGTCTGCAGAGTGATATTGATTATTTTTTACTCTTTCCCTATGATTGTAGAGATGCACAGTGATGTTTGGTTATGTAAAGCTATTGCACTGAATGTCTTTAGGGAAAATGACACCCCACCTTTTATTCTCACCAGCGCCCCCTGTCTGGAATCTGCTATCATGGCTCCCACCTTGTCCAGGCTCTGTTAAAGTTCAAGGGTCACAGCCTCCTCCTAAACAGCCTGCGTGCTCTTACAACATCTGACCTTGTGACCTTGGGAACTGACCAATCCGGTAGCCATGTGCTACAAGCCATTATGACATCAGCGAGCGACAAGGAGAGGGGCAAAATACTGAGGAGGCTGGAGGTGAGAGATCAAGGGGCAGGGCAGGTGGGGGGGGATTAAGAGATGAGTGGGAGTCGTATGGAAGCCTTTGGTGACAGAGAAACGACGTGAGAGAAAGAGGCCGAGGAGGAGGAGCATTTTAGCATTTTTCCAGCACCTGTAAACCTCACACCATATAACCTCATACAAGAGAAACAGGACAGTAAGACAGAGTTACCCTCTCAGCCTATAACACTCACATATCACAGATACGGCCCTTCTGGACAGATGGCCTGTGACAGGCTGATTGGTGCCAGTTCTGCATTTAAAATTAGTATGATGTGCCGTTACTGATTCATCTGGAGTCCATGAATTTCAAAGGTTTCATTTTTATTTCACAAAAATTTCAATAAAATTGATGGATCAGTAATTTAGTCAAGACAGACATAATTGATTAAATTTATATATGATATTAACTAGACACATATAATTAATCAAAACAACATCATAGTTAATATGGAACATCTAATATCTGAAATCCAGTCACATGGAAGGGGGTTATATCTAATGAATGTCGAATTTATGATTTTCTGGCTTTGGCTCCAAGCTGTCTTGCTTCTGTTATGGAAGTTGTGGAGGATGTCTGGAACAGCGCCACCGTGAGTCAGAGGCAGGACATTGCAAAGGAGCTGGGTAAGACAGTATATCCCTCCATGGGACATTAGGGGAGTCGTCCAGGCACTCTGATGCCATTTCACAGAGATGCCTGCTTGTTATAAGCGGTAATTAGTTTGATTAAGCATCAAGATTCAAGCTTCTTAAATCCTTGCTTTCGATTAACAGATAATTATCATACACATCTGTGGATGGCAGCAGTCTTGTGTGATGTTTTGACGGAAATCCAAAAAAGCAGTTAAACCACTTCCCACTGGTGACTGTCATACAACAAACATCTCCTTGTGTCCCTTCCAGATCAGTTTGCCTGTCATTTATGGGCAAAATTTGCCCTGACTCACTTTGTGAAGAGGAGAGCTCAATGGCAGGAGATACAGACTGACCAAACGAAGAGAAAAATTTTCAGTGACATCCTTCAGTGACAGTTTGGATGACATACGGGAAAGGTCATTGTTTATAAAATACTTGTGTCAGTCAGTTCGGTGTTTTGTTTTTTATACTTTTTATACTCTTTTATGAGAACGTGTACTGCAATGGGTTGGCGCCCCGTCCAGGATTGTTAACTGCCTTGCATCTGTAGCCTTCTTCGGGATAGACTCTGCCCCCACCAGCACCCCCCCCCCCCCCCCCCCCCCCCCCCGGGACCCTGAGCACAAGCGGTTTCAGAAAATGGATGGATGGATGAGAATGTGTACACTGTTTTATTTTAATTCAGACCATCCTTCCGAAGCAGCCATATACTCAACAACAGTCTGCTTAAGATTTTTAAGAATCTCTCATTGTATTGACATTTTGGGTCTTTGTCATACTAATGTGATGAAGAAGGAGACTTTAGTTCTAGCAGTTAAGATCATTAATGTTAAGGAAGCATACAGTTAACAGTGTTACTCTGATGGAAATATATTTTGAAGGATATAAAAGGATGTGATAAGACGTCTGTGTGGACTGACAGGGTTTTTAGGAGGTTGAGGTACAATGTGGCAGAAAGTATGAACCAATTTCACAGAGCACTGCCTGAGGAACACCCTGTAAGCTGGGAGAATTAGAGTGGGGAATGGAGTTTTACATACTGGTCCAATTAATAGCTTTTCAATTCTGAGACAAGGTGTGGTTCCTTCTTCTTCAGGGAGGCAAAAAAAAGCATTTTCAGTGTTTCACAGTTCAAGACCTCATACAGCCTCCTCATCCTGTCCTGCCTGGTATTGGCAGCACATATGTAATTATACTTCTCCTCAGAGATGGGGATTTCATCCAGTATTGGTTTAATCAGTGTCACTTTCTGGATGATGGCTTGCTTGTGTTGGTCTACAAAAGCCGCACCTGAATGATAAGAGGCCATTGGAGAATGAGCAGAAACAAACCAAAGATACAACAGAGACAATATTCATTTAAACATGCAAAGTCTGTCCTGCTACAACGCGACTAATGTGTTCCTGAAAAACCTTGCGTTCACTAAAATGGCATACTAAAACACAAGGCTAATCGGAAAAATAGGGTTAGGGGAATATGACTGCAAAACACAGTAGCTTATGCCAAACAAAATAAATTAAATAATCAAATCAGTGATGCCAGTGGACAGTAATTTAATTATATGTATTTAAAATAACAAACAATAATACATTAATAAATCATATTATAATATCTCCTGTGGGCCTTATGAGTCTCATGAGAATTGCGTAGTAACCACATCAACCAAACATGCCAAACTCCTTAACTTGTCAGAGTCAGGAGTAGTGATGACCAAATCGATGCTTCATGAACCATTTGCTGTATTTTCTGACCCCACTAGATGGTGCCCTTGGATTACTTTGGGGCAAGCTTAGAACCCATTATTTGAACAGAGAGCACCACCAAGTGGGTTCAGAAAATACAGCAAATGAGTAGTGAGGCACAGCAACCATGCTCTCAGGCAAGTGCACAGCATAAATACAGCAGATTATGGTATGCGGAGGGGCACTGACGGCAACAAGGTTACAGACAGCCTATGAAAAACAAATGTCAGTGAATGAAAAAACATTTGGTATGATATTTGATAATATGATAATTTGTCAAATATTTTAGATTTTTAGAATCTAAATATTTTGACCTGTGCAATGCTTGGATGGATTCACTGAAAAGTTCAAAAGAACAGGTGGCAGTGTTGCCAACTATTTCCAATGAAAAGTAGCTAAAGCCTGCCCGAAAAGTAGCTAAAG